AAAAAAAAAAAAAAAAAAAAAAAAAAAAAAAAAAAACCTTTTAGCAATTTATAACGAATATTGTGACCTCAATTTCACTTATTAAGCACTCAAAATTTAGAAACTTTCTTAGAGAAACTACCTTTGATTTCCCTGATAGAACGATTGCTTTCGGATTCTTCAGATGCTCTGCAGAGTCAGGATCACGCGATTCAGTAGAAACCCTCTGCACAAACTATCTACCAATCTTCAAAATCTTAAACGTGACACCCATGAATCCTCTCCTCACAGATCAAGCTCAACGCTTCTGGGTACTGTCACAAATACGATGGGAGACCCGAAACTGAAGAAACCTAGGAGAAATTTTTGGTAATAGAGTATGAAATTGATACCTTTATGAGCTCGTTCCGGAGAAGATTGGATAAAAATTTGAGCTACGTTTTGATCGGAGAGAACAGAACAAAGCAACCAAATTTAGAGTTATACCTACTTGGACATAGGAACCGAATTTAGATTTTGATTGGAACCAAGAAATAGATAGAGAGGGAGGTGAAACAAAAGACATTACAGATGGGAGTAAAGAGGAGGTTAGATTGTTAGTGGTGATGAAGATCGCGCGAAACAGAGAAGATGAAGTGAGTGAATGTGAATCGATCACGACTCAATTTGTGGGGGACTTTATTCTATATTGCCCCACTCACTCCCATCTTCATTCTATTTTAACCCATCATAAATTTGATTTTTTTTTTCTTTCTCAAAATCAAAATGTGATTAAAAAATCAATAACCCTTAATGAATTAGTATTATATGTAATATAAATTACTAGAAACTACCTTGAATTACTAGGAATTACTAGAAACTACCTTGAATTACTAGAAACTACTATGAACAAAAAACAAATTACCTTGAATTACTAGAAACTACTACGAACAAAAAAAAAAAGTGGGGCAGTGAGAAAAATGGTGGGTAGTGAGAATAGTTATTTTTCAAATGGGGTATATTAGAATACTTTCCATTTGGGGGATTAGGGCTTTGGTTCAATAGAACCGTGAAATTGTTTTGTCTAAAGTGGAGGTGACGTGGCATATTTAAGCTCTTTAATTGGGTGAATATAAATGCCTAAGTGAACATGGTGAAAGAGCTTTATTAACCATTTTAATAGTGTTAAATTAGATTTTAGTTATTATTTTCTATTTTATAAATAAGTTATTTTTAATATGTGAACTAAACCATTAACCACAGTGTTGTTTTTATAGATAAGTCATTTAAAATAGGTTTTCATAACCGAACCAGCTTGGTACAGTTTCAATTTTTTACTTAGCAATATTTTTTTTATATGAACAAAATTGTTGTTGACGAAAAATATTTATTAATAAAGTAGATTTTTTTTCTCCATGAAAGGCAAAAGTTATCACTTTTCATTCTATATATAATTTGTTGAATAATTTTTAAGTCCACTTATATTTTTTTTTATTTGGATTTGAATTTTATTTTTACATTAGGCCCAATTATAAGAATCTTTTATTTCATATCATTTTTAAATATCTAATTTTAATACTATTTAAAATAATTTTCTATATATTTTTTACTATTTTAAATTATAAATTTGAATTACATTAAAATATTATTTATACAAATATACAAAAATAATAAAAAGCACGATTTCAGCCACAATATTTTTAATTTTAATTTTAGAGTACTTTATTTATTGTGATGTTGTTGAAACTTACAACATAAATATAATTTTGAAATTATTTTATTGATGTCTAACTCGTTGTAAATTATAATTATTTTAACAAATGACGTAATAATTATAAAATAAAAAAATATTTAAAGTTAGGGTTATTTAGTATTTCAGTGATATTGATTTGTAAATAAATTGTACGTTTTAGGGGTATTTTTTGTTTGTATTTTTCTTTAATAAGATGAATGCATAACAGGAAACCGTTTCATCATAAATAGATTTCCTATAACATTACACCAAAAATTACTAAACATAACAATATGTGACAAAAAACACGTTAATAGACAAAAAAAATGATTCGTAACAAAAAAAATGATTACATAGAAATCAAAGTTGAGAACATATATAAACCAACAACATAACTACGACGTAAATTTGATTCACATGAAATATAACATCCAACTTCAAATGGACAATAAGCCAAACTTAGGCAAAATAAATAAAGTTGTTTTCATGTCATATTACTCTTTCATCAGTCATTTCAAATCGCCTACAATCAAAGTTTTCAAAATTCATATGCAATTTGCTCATACACAAGGAAAATTAAGACTATTACCACTAACTGAACAGCCATAACTGGAGCAAACAAAAAATAAATGTAAATGATATAAATGTTTATCCTTCTTTGGCACATGATATTCGTCTTTTTCACTACATACTCAAATATCACAAAACCTATTATTTTCTCTTCAGCATATCCAACAATGAAAATCAGATGACTGTAAAATTATAGAAGTACATGTCTATTGACCTAAAATTAAACTATAATTCATAGTTCAAAAATCAGCAATAAAACAGCTGAAAACAAACGTTGGAAATTTAGAAACATGATCCTTTCCTTTCTACACTAAGATACTTTAAAGACATAGTACCTTAATGTATAATGCAATCTTCCCTAGAAAAATGACTAATTTACTATTTAGTAGAAACAACTATATATCCTAATGAACAAAAAAAAAAGAATGTCCAACAACTACAAAACACAATAACTCAGTCTATGTTTGTTAGAAATCCGTATCAACCATCTAATTTAACATTACCCAACAACATCATATGAAACAAATAAAAGAACATACACACACAATATAAAAATGTATCCATAGATACTGAAAATTTAAGGGTTACAAATAATTTTAAACTCATTGAATAATAAAACATATGAACTCAGAGCTAATACTACTAGTAATAATAAAATTGTTGATCAGTTTATAGAAAAGACTGTTGATTAATTCAAGAAGAGCAAATAGATTTGGCCAAACCAAAACTAATATTAATTCGCATATTCTGTTTTTTACTAATCACCTAATAATGATAACACTATGTATTTGTAGTTTATTAGTACTCCCTCCGTTTCAAATTATATGTCATTCTACAGTACAATTTTTGTTTCAAAATAAGTGTCGTTTTATAATTTCAATGCAAAATTTATTGATTTTAAATGTTATTCTATTTTTTCATTGGTTGAAAAGTGATTAGGTCTATAGGTAATTGTGTTTTTATTTTGAAAATATGTAAAATTAATTGTTTTTTTAATCTATGTGCAAAACTCTAGAATGACAATTAATTTGAAACGGAGGGAGTAATATTTAAGTGTCCCATTGTCTTCGTTAAGGATGCACTACTATGTATGGCTGAATGAGGATAAATGATCAATGCTGGTCAAAAGTAAGTATTTACTACTCACAACATTCGAAGAGACAAATTAACAAAGAAGAAAAACTCTTCGATCCATTCAATGCATATCCGTTTTATAGCTACATATAAATATATGCATGGTGCAAGGGGAGAAAGCATGTAGACATAATGGAGTTTTCAAATACCATAACCTGTAGTCACTACAATAATAAACAGAAAATACTTCTGGTTGGAGAAGGAGACTTCTCCTTTTCTTTATGTCTAGCCAAAACTTTTGGTTCGGCTACTAACATCACTGCAACTTCTCTTGATACTCGAGGTAATTAATTAAGTAATAGCCAAAGGGTGTACGTATCGTTTTTAGAGGCTAGAGACCAGCATTGTTTGTTTTTAATTCAGTTTTGCAATATGTCAAATTGTGATTAGGGTATTATAACATGTATAATTGCGCTGAGAACAAATCATATTCTTGTTGTAGAGGAGTTAGAGCAAAAGTACAAGAATGCCAAGAATAACGTTGAAGAGTTGGAGCGACGTGGGTGCACGGTGATTCACAGTGTTAATGTTCATTCCATGGATAATAATCATCGCGTCCGGTCGACTCTATATGATATAATCATATTCAATTTCCCTCATGCAGGGTTTCATTTTGGTCGCGAGTTTGATAGCTACACCATCTTGTATGTAAATCTTGTTTCTTTGATATATATTTTGGTGGTTGTTATATTTTCGATTTATTAAACAAATTTATGTGGCCGTAGGCAACACCAAAAAGTGGTGCAAGGCTTTTTCCAAAGTGCAAGAGTGTTGGTTGATGCCAGTGGAGAGATTCATGTGACTCATAAGATAGCACATCCATTTACCAATTGGAATATCAAGACTCTTGGTGAAGAAAAGGGTTTGTATTGTGTGAGAGAAATGAATTTTGACGCATTCCAGCATCCAGGTTACTCCAACAAGAGAGGAAGTGGAAGTGACTGTGACTCTAGCTTCCCTGTTGGATTATCTTCTACTTTCATGTTTAAGAAGCACTGGTTCCTTTTTTGAAAGTGTGTTCTCGGGCAGGTTAATCTGAGTTTTACTTTATAAGTGTTTGCTAGAAGCTGAGTCTAAAATGCTTCGGCATCTCTTTAAATTTTCTGCATTTTTTCAATAAAACTTCTTTATCAGTAAAACATTTTTAATTAAAAATATAACGAATTGTTTTTTTTTACTATCTAATCGTGAGAATTTATCTAACAACCAAAAGAATAAAACTGATTGGTTGCCTAGGTATCCCTAAATGTTTATAAAACAATTTGCAAGAGTTTTAGTATTTTATCATGTATTTATGAACTAGGTGATTTTCCCGTGCTCATGCACGGGCATAAATATTTATAAAATAAATATATTATAATAGTTGATTGATAATTACTTTAACTTTTATATTAATTTATAGTTTTTATGTATAATTTATATTAATAATATTATATTATTTTAGTTATATATAATTTTAGATATATTATATTTAGTCAGTTTTATCATTTGGATATATATATATATATATATATATATTGGATTCTATATATTTCTCTGAATTCAACTATAATCTTTTTTATTCCAAATATCTTACATTTTTGATTAATTTTTTTATTTACATTTATGTTGGTTGTTATCTTAGAGATATAAGTATATCTTAGTAAAATTATGTATTTTAAGATTTTTTGTGCTTAGAACGAAAAAAATAAAAATTAAAGTTTCTGATTTAAAATACATACATAAGTAATAATAAAACTTTGGAAGCTTATGAACACATATCAATATTTACAATAATTAAATATTTTATAAATTTTAAATAATTTATGACTTAGATTAATTGGATGGTAAACTGAAATTTATTTTAAATAATTTTCAAAATAAGGAATGCTGATTTTTTGCTAAAGTATTTTTATTATGTTTATATTAAATTCCACAAACATAAAAACAGAAAATTAAACATCAAAAGAGTTATTAAGAAAAAAAGATAATTTTAACTATTAAAATATAATATATCTACCTCGTTAATTACATAGTCTTATGATATTTTAAAAGAATTGTAGTTATTTGATCAAAGAAGTTTATTATTAAATTTATTTTTAGTTTTGTTTTTAATATCTCTTAAAATATGCAGTAAAAATGTGGTTGTTTTTGAGAAATTATATTATATAAGTAAAATATAATTTATAATTTTTTGTGACTGTAAGATATTATAATCAAATAAGTATACTAATTATATTTTTTGTCAATTAAACATATATTAGTTTATGTTACTTAATTATTTTATGTAATCATCTAATAAAATAGATAGATATATACAAAACTAATTACTTTGAAAATATATATTTTATTGTGTAAATTATTTTTTAAAGAAAAAATATTTCTTTTTCTAATATCAAGATTATTTGTATGAAATTATTTTTTATGAAAACACATTATATACAAATAGTGTTTTCCATCTAAGAAGATATAGATATAAAGTATAATTACTTAAAAAGTATAACTTACGTTATCTAAAAATATATTTAAGTTAAATATTAATATTTTGTAAACTTTCCTTTTTTATGAAACCATATTATATATATACTGATTTTCGTTTTTAAATAGTTTTTTAAATTTTATAAATATTTTCTTTTTGTTTTATATTGTTATTTGGAAGATTTTAAAAAGGAAATAGTAATATTTAAATATATTTTTAATTCAATAAGGGTATCATAGTAATCAACCAGCGTGAGAGTTAACGTGAACGCGACACCTAAGAAAGTGACTTCTCAAATAATATTAAATAAAATATATATTTATTGGTTAAATTATTTTTTTAAAGAAAAAATATTTCTTTTTCTAATATCAAGATTATTTGTACGAACTTTTTTTTATGAAAACACATTATATACAAATAGTTTTTTCCATCTAAGAAGATATAGATATGAAGTATAATTACTTAAAAAGTATAATTTACATTATTTAAAAATATATTTAAGTTAAATATTAATATTTTGTAAACTTTCCTTTTTTATGAAACCATATTATATATATACTGATTTTCGTTTTTAAATAGTTTTTTTTAATTTTATAAATATTTTCTTTTTGTTTTATATTGTTATTTGGAAGATTTTAAAAAGGAAATAGTAATATTTAAATATATTTTTAATTCATTAAGGGTATCATAGTAATCAACCAGCGTAAGAGTTAATGTGAGCGCGACACATAAGAAAGTGACTTCTCAAATAATATTATAGAGATTTTAGAACGTATGTAAGTTTTAAACTAATATGATGAAAACCCACTTTATGTAATTGTACTTGAAAATCATGAGAGACTATATCTCCAACCTAAAATTCTATTTTTCCTACATAATGGAGTAACATATCGGAATGTTATTGATTCTAATCAAACCTTATTCTATTTTTTTAGTGAAAATAGAATAATGAAAAAAATAAGAGAAATATTCTATTTATGGAGTAAATTCATGTTTAACCCATTATAAAATTTGAAAATGGCGTGGACCTGAAATATTTTTTACTCTAAACTCTATTCTAGGATAAATTGTGGAGTGAATTTGGAGTGATCTTACACTTGAAAGATTAATTATATTCAAGTTTACAAATTGATAGTGTTTAACAAAAGTTTTGGAAGAATTTCCTGTTATTATTTTATAATTACTATATAGTGGCAATTGGTCCTTCTTGTTTGTAAGTCAGAACTTAGAAAGGTAAATATACAGTTTAAGCCATTATCCTAAGTTGCTATTTGGTGTTATAGCAATTAATTATATGTTATATTTATGATTTTTCAATATTTTTCGTTTAACATTTTAATTTTTCAAATTTTTATATTTTATAAATATTTCAGATTTGTTTTTATAAACTTAAGTTTTATCCATAAAACTTTAAAATAAAATCTATAGTATTTTAAAAACTAAAATTAGACTTCATGAATATTATAAAAGAAACTTAAAAAAGGTACAAAAGCATAATTATTACATAAAATATTACAACAATATTAATAGTATAAATGTTCTCTGAAACCTTCAAAATCTCCAAAATATTATCCAAATAAGTATTGTGTAACTGAAGATGGAACATTATGGAAATAATGTTATGAAATATGTGATATTTTGTTTGTAATTTATTATTTAGTTATGTATTTCTATTTACAGTTTTATATTTTAGAGTAAATATTTTTTTAATTAATATTATTGTTATGTTTTTTCACATATGTTCTAGTTATTTATATAAAAATGAATTTATATTAATTATGACAAATATAAGGATCATGGAGTAAAATACAAATAGTTTTAATGTTAGTTTTGAAGTTTTGCTTTTGGAGAATAACACATTGAAACTTCAAAAATAGAGTTTTGCAAACTCTAAAATAGAGTGTCTTTTTGGAGATACTCTAATTCTTATTGTCAAATACTCAAAATGGTGCATGGATTAATGCTGCATTGAATGTTTTGAGATATATAAATAACATGAGTTATACGGTTACAAATTTTATTGGTTTAAAGTATTTTTGAAATACAATATTTTTAAAAAATTAAAGAAAATATCAAAATGCTAACTAAGCCAGTATGACCTGATGAGTGAGTAAGAAAATAAAAAGCAATTCATCATATATGCTAAACGGCTCTTAATTTGCATGACTGGGTACAATGGTAATACCCAATTTAAAACGAAAGAAGGCCGTCAAAATGGTGCATGCCTGCATGGATAGAAAAATTGAATGCTCCAAATAAATAATCACAGAGTCCGAAGAGACAGATTCCAAAACCAAACATTTTACGGTAGTCTCTTAAATGTATAGTGTATACATGTGTCTATATAAAGTCAATGTGTGAAACTGAAATGAAAAAGAATATTAAGATGAAATGAAAACCAAAAGATTAAGACAATACAGCAATAAGCAAAGGATACTTCTGGTCGGAGAAGGAGACTTCTCCTTTTCTCTATCTTTAGCTAGAGCCTTTGGTTCTGCAACAAATCTCACTGCCACCTCTCTCGATACTCTAGGTAAATCAATCAACTCATATTACTTTGTATATATTTATTAAGGAACCAAACGTCATATGATTTTGGTAACAAAAATATTGCAGAGGAGATAGAGCTTAACTATGCGAATGGGAAAGCTAACATAGAAGAATTGACGAGACTCGGCTGCACCGTGGTCCATGGATTTAACGTGCACTCCATGAGGCTTGCTCCAAGATCAGAGCGTTATGATAGAATAATCTTTAATTTTCCTCATTCAGGGCTTGGCTTTGGCAGTGAGCACCATAGAGTGTACATCATGTAATGGATACCTTCTGGTTCATTTTTATATTTGTTGAGGTTTATTTTTTATTTGATGTATTGAAAATGTGAACAGGTTACACCAAGAACTTGTGAGAGGGTTTTTGAAGAACGCAAAGAAGATGGTGAAAGATAAAGATGGAGAGATCCACATTACTCACAAGACGGCTTATCCATTTAGCGAATGAAAGATAGAGACTCTAGCTGAAGAAAATGGTTTGTGTTTGACTCAAGAGGTGGAATTTAACAAATGGTACTTCCCTGGTTACTCAAATAAGGGGTTGATTGGTAGATCATTAGCATAAGTATTATGCTCTCTATTATCCAATCAATATTTGGCAAAGAAGCATTTAGAAAAGCATTTACCAAATGCAAATGCTCTCCAAATGCTCTTTGCTCAATGCTCTCATATAGAGCTTTTGAGAGAGCATTTGCATATAGAAAATATAAAACTTAATAATATTTATATATAATTAATTTATTTTTGTTTAAAAATATAAACAATATTTTTATAATTAAATATAAATTTATATTTAAAAATAAAAAAATTATAATTATTTATTTTAAAAGAACAATATTTCACATTTAAAATATAATATAATTTATATAATTACATATATCATTCATTATTTTTAATAACAAACATAACATAATATAATTTATATATTATCGATATAAACATATTATTTAGACATTAATAAATAAATTATATATTAACTTTTATGATAATTTTATATATGAGTAATTTAGTGCTCTCCCAATAAATAAATAATAATAATTTATATATAAATTATAATTAATTAATTAACTTATTTAATAATAATTATAATTTAATAATAATTAATTAAATTATAACTATAATTTTATATATGAGGAATATGTTATATCCAAAAAAATTAATATTTTTTAAAAATTAATTTTTAAATATAATTTACATAATGAAAATTAATTATTTTTAATAAAATTATATATTATTAATATATATTACATATATATATATATTATTTTAAAAGAAATATATTATTTTACTAACTATTATGACAATTTTAAAATTGTATACTGCTAATGCTCTGCCAATCACTTTATTGAAAAATTTAATGAAAGCATACAGCTTCTGTAGCATACTGCTTCTGCAGCATACTGATACTGCTTTATCATCTGCTGTACCAATCGAGGCCTAAGAAAGGGACTAGGCCTCGCTGTAACTCTAGCTTCCCTGTCGGGAAATCTTCTACTTTCATTTTTAAGAAACGTTAATTAGATAATTACAAGATATTTTTGAATAACCATCAAAAATCTTTGTATGGTTATGCAAAAACTTTTGTAATTAGATAATTACAAAACTAATTACCAATGGTGGCGATATCTGTAAATCATTGATAATAGTTTTGTCATTTTTTTTATTTTTTTTATGGTCGAATCAATAAATTGGATTCAGGACCAATATATATGTACTAGGATTGGTCCGTCCTACGGACGGGTTATAATAAAACTATTTATATTAATTTATATTAATTTTATGAAGTATTTAAAATTATTATAGATTGAAAACAATATCACAAACAAATAAATAGTGAAGAGTCCAAAGAAAACAAAAACAAATAATAAAAAAATTCTGAGATCATATTTCTATTTTTAATAAATATTTTGGTTTGAATCAAAATGACAATAGTCTTCATTATGCTTTATTTTTTTAGAGAATACAAAATTAGAAAAAAGAATTCAGAAAATTTAATATATATATATATGTATATATATATATATGTGTGTGTATATATATATATTAGTATATCTATTTCAATTTGATATAATTAAAAATCTCAAGTATAAATAAATAATACTATATTTATTTCAAGAAGATCCAAATTTAAAAAAAATATTTATACAAATTATTTATTTCATGATAATAAAATAGTCTATCTTCAAGTTAAATCAGTTAATATATAATACAATTTGATAAAAAATAATCTAATCTCAAATTTTAAATTACTATATATATAGTTTAATAATATCATAACTCATAATAAATGTTTTCTAGTTTACCAGGAAAATTCTGTTTTAGAATATATTTGCTTCAGATCGTGATTATATCTGGAAAGAAGTATTAGTTACATTTTAGTGCTTTACTCTTTATGTTTTGTTACTCCTTTTAGTGCTTTACATTTTAGTGCTTTACTGTTTATTACTTATTTTAATAATAAAATTATTTGTTAGGAGTGTTTTCTCTTGCTATTTAAATTATTGTTTTAAAATAATATTTTATAAATTAATAAAATAATATACTCATATACCAGATTTTTACTTTAGTTACATAACAATTCATATCAAGGAGGAAGTTAGAGTGTAGCAACACATAACCAAACAATGAAGAACTAAAATAATATTTATTTTTTTTTCTCCATTGAAAGTGATTTTAATATACAATCACCATTTTTTTTTGTTATTCTTATTTAAAATGATAGTTTTCTAACTAATAAGAAAATTTTCATTTTAATTATATAATTATTTTACATTTCTCAATACTTGTTTTGCCTCTATTATAATAATAAATAAAATAAAATTATTCAGAATTACAATTACGATTCAACATACCAATATTTTTTTCTCTAATATAGATATGTCTTTGAATACATTTAACACGTTTGCTTTGGAATCTATTGTTCCAAATCATGCAAAATGTAAACTTTATCATTTTCCATTCAACTTGATAACTTACCACCTTGCTATTTAAAGAATTACATATTTAGTTTTAAAATTTTTCAAAGAAACCATATTATCCAAATTAATTAAGACTTTTTAAAAAAAAAATATTATTATTTCATAATCAAGGTATAATTAGTGATTATATTACTTTTGATTTCCTTTTGTAATATAAGTTTTTTACATTTATTATATATTTATATATAGTTATCGTTATGGACTTACATGTAGGATTTATAATTAAATTAACTGCTGACCAGTTTAAACTATGGTTAGGATTAGAAAGGACAGAGAAGAGTATAATAACTTTGGGATGACTTAATAATTCTAGTAATAGACACGAAGAATTGGACCTCTGTTGTGTGAGGATCCATAATCAAATTATATGAGATGAGCTTGTATATAACATCTAATGAGACTTCAGTGAGGATGTTAAGAAACACTTTGTAGTTGCACATTTGAGAAACGGAAAGCTAACAATATTCGACAATAAATATGTGTTTGCGTAGAGAAATAAGGCTTGAAATAACCCTTATGAACCGTCTAGTAATAGAGTTGATTAAACAGTGGTTGGCAGGTATACTCGGTTTAGTTTATATGGAACTGAAGCACATGACCATAAGATTTTGATTATACAGTAGTCTCACGAACCTGCAGTGCAATAAGTAAAGAGTCTTGTATTATTGTCACCATATAAATCCGGCTAACCTGTAATAAAGCACCCATCAATCATTATACAGAACTTAAGAAACAAAAATCATATCCATATTCCCTAGAAGTTAACTGAGTTGACCTGCCAACCAGCTTCTATGTTGTTAAGGTCTTAATAAGTCATTGAGAAGCCATATCTGCGAGAAGGTGAACTCATGTTGCTGCTGTACTATCTTCGGCTCCCACACATTTATAGTTACTTTAGCTCCATAGTAATTATCCCTTTCCACATATGCATGCTACTTTCCAACAAACCAAAACAAATAACACATCTCAGATCAAGAAACCAACAAAAAGGAAAAACTTTGACTCATCTGATGACCACTTTGGTTCATGAGGTCAGCTCCTTAGATATAGGAAACGGGAAAGTGCTATGCTTCTTCTTGCCATATCTATTGAATGAACTTTCTCTCAAGACATCATCTTCCTTTTTCCTTCTCATGGGAAGGGTTCATTCGGAACTTTTATCATATCCATGCCATAACTAAGGAATATGTATGTCCTTCTATTTCTGGCGGTGTAAAGACACTTTGTTTGTTATCAAAGAGTCCCTTGGGATGGTAATTATGCTTCATCTAAAGAAGAAGCCCAAGTAAACTAAACATCAACACATAAAACATAACGCCTAAATAAAATCTTAGTAAACATTGTATCTATGTACCTGAATCTTGTGATCTTTGATTAAAGGATGATCAAAAGCTGGTTGCTTTGTGATAGAAACACATGCAATTACATCTCCTTCAATGGTTTGTTAAGCACATCCAAAAGTTTTAAACTTTCGTTAGATAAATCATTTTTTAAAAAGAAAAAACTTGACTCATTTATAACTTATTGTTCTATCAGAACAAAAATAAACAAAATCAAAAGGTAAAAGAAATAGAAACCGGATTATGATACTTACCCCAATCAGTTCAAGTACAAAATACTCAAAAAGAATAAGATAATAGAGTTCTCTCATCTGAATACTCTTGACAGCAGATTTGCTCAGCCTATTCAAATGCTTTTTTAGTTCAAACTTCTGCTTAGATATGTTGGACCTTGCAGTGTAGGATAGCCAGACAAACCTCCACAGCCATAAACACTAAGGAACTTCTAGCTTGCTTCTCCCTGCAAGCTGGCATGATTTAAGATAACAAAAAATTATGGGGAATAATTTTGATAATGAAGGCATAAACAAATTGGTCTCCGTTGAACGAACTATTAGAGCTGAAAATTTTGATAATCAAAACATGATCAAGACCCGATAATTTTGATAATCAAAACATGATCAAAGCTATGCATGACCCCGATAAAGAATAAAAATAAATAAAAAACTACATCTTGAATTCAGAATTATCTTTGCGTCCAAAAGGAGAAGAAAGAACTGTGCATTTTACGGGTCAAGCATAACTTTATATAGTTAAATTTTTGGTGAAAGCAGTAAATGAGGAAGCAGTGAAGGATAGATCGACAATAGTTGATTACTGCGTTGAAGACGATCCTTCGCCTAACCACAAAACGTTTTCAATTTTTCTCAATTAGGAAGATGAAGAAAATCATTGGTTCAGTGAAGATTCTACCGGAGACTGGAGTCTCTTAGAATGGACCAAAAACAATACAGAACCCATAAATAATTAATTTGTCAAGCCCAAATGATGGTCTAATAAAAGCGCTTAAGAATTGATTTCATTATAACGTAATAAAAAACAGCGATTAGAGGACACGTGTCACATTGAGGTTAACCGAATTAGTGATATGGTATCATAAGAGGGAGGAAAACCGTTCTTTATATAATAAG